TTGTGAACAGTAACAATTTTTTTTATGAACAGTACTTTTCATTTTATAATGAGCAGCAATTTCTGATTAAATTGCGAACAGAAATAGTAAAAAAAAAATTATTTTTTTTATTTTTTAAATCGGATGAACAGTGCTGTCTCGAATGAACAGTAACTTTAAAAATTATTTTTCCGGATTTAAATCGAAAGCTATAAACATTTCAATCTTCTAGATTGTTGGAAATTTATCAAATAATTAAATATTATAGCATGCAGATAAATCCGAATAAAATAAATAAGAGATAAGAAAATCAGGCCTGAACGGGAGCAGTCGTGTATTCACTGCCCTAGAAGATTGAGAACCCGCCTATCGTCCTGGCGCAGATGGTTCCCTCCCCCCTAGCGGTAAAAACCCCCGGAAACGGCCGGCCTCTACACTCGGGCGAGAGTGCAGAGCTTCAGCTCAGATGAAGGAAGTTGCCCATAAAATAAAACTAAAATGTAGATGAAAATAATATGTAGGGGAGAGAAGAAAAACAAGAGAAACTTGTTGTATATTTTTCCTTATTATTTTGAGCTCAACATATGGATATATATATAGGGTTGGAAAAGACGTTACAAAACCCGTAATTAATTCTGTAACGTTCGTCATAAATTTTATAACGTTCCCCATAATTATATATCCGTTACACATATTTTAATTGCATGTTTTAATTACAATATTTATTATAATTCATGAAGGCAAAAATGCCTTTTGTTAACAAAATATCTAACACATCCTAACAAGTTCGATCTTGCCTTACCAAAATTTTGAATTTTGAATTCTACCAAGCAAACTAAACATAAAATTTGGAATTGGATGGAGTATAGATATCATGTGCTGATAATTTACGTGGCCTCGAAGAAAACACAAATAGCTTTTGTTCATAAAACTACGTAGTACTCGTAACTACTACTACTGCTAATATAAATAAAATTGTAACATGATTTGAATTCTTGCTTGAGTGCCAAGAATATGTAATAAACTTCAACCTACTTCAGATCAGATATGAATTAAAAAAAAACCACTACTACTAATATAGTAGTAGTAATAATAATAGGATACTGAAATTGAGTGGCTAGAATAATAAAACTTCAACCTACTTCAATCAGATATGAAACTAACAAAATCTGTTACGCTTACAGCCATAAAATAATAGAATGCTTATCAAGATGGCGAGATCAAAAACAGCATATCAGTACTAGCATGTTAGGGATTCGTCCTATCGATAACCTGTCAAATGAACCCTCTCGCGGAATTAACGTGCTCTCCGAATATTATGCTGAAAGAAGGCAAGAATAAATCACAGCAAATAAAAGAAAACTTTACAAGGAAAAAATAGAAAAGAACACCAAAATTTTAAGGAGGTTCAACAACTTGCCTACGTCCCCGGGAGCCACACAAAAAATTTTCTTTGAATATTAAAGAAGATTACAAAGCTTGCAAGAGATGATCTCAAACTCCTTAAGATCTCTCAAAAGGAACTATCTTTTTATTTCTCAAGGCGTGGGATTTTTCTCTAAAAAATCGCTGCTCAAGACGCTGCAAAAATCATCGCCAAAAGCCGTTCTGGAGATCGCTCTGGAAAACTAGCGTTTAAGTGGTGGCCAGAGTTCCCTATTTATAGGGAAACCCTATGTCAAAACAAATTAGGAATCTATTTTCTGCGAGTTCGCCTGACTACGAAGCTCGCCTGTATGACTTATGCTCGCCTGAACATAGCCAAGCTCGCCTGAACTGCTTTGCTTGTACTTGGAGTTCGTTTGCACTTGGAGCTCGCCTCTACTAGGAGCTCACATGCACTTGGAGTTCGTCTGAACCTTCAAATCTCGCCTGATCTTACAAGTTCGACTAAACTTCTAAAACTCGCCTGAAATGTAGGTTCGCCTGAACTCAGCTTCGAGCTTCGCCTGAACTTCCAAGTTCATCTGAACTACCAAGTTCAACTGAACTTCCAAGTTCGCCTGATTTCTTAACTTAGAGAAATTTTTGCTTTGCATGCTTGTTCTAAGGTTTGGGTCTACACCTGAAACCAACATAGCACACAATTGAATTAATGTACTACCATAACAAATTGATTTATGTGTATAAGATACCTTTTCTTTGTAGAATTTGTTATATTTTTTTAATCGTATTGATTCTCCTTCTCCTACGGTTGTATTGAATGGAAGTAGAATTCTAAGAGTAAATAGAGCAACCGGATTAGTAAATAAAGTATTTAGTATGCGACTTCGTAATTAAGAAAGGTAAATGAGTTTATATTTATAGAAAAAAGGGTAATTATTATGAAACTCCTTCAGGTTTATCAGGCCATTATGAAACTTCATAACGCTTATTTTTCATTACAAAACACCCTTTCGTCCAAAGGCAATATACAGATTACAAAACACCAAATCTAGGCTAAAAATCAAAGGATTGAAGATATCAAGTTTAGTAATCTTCTCTATGTTAGTGGACATATATGATATATAGTTACTTATGTTTGATGTGAAGAGGGAAGAGGTAGGTTTTCCAAGAAAGAAGAGAATCTTTACCAAGGGTTTATTTTAGAGAAAACAACAAAAAATTAAATGGGTTTTAACTGTTTTTGTAACATCTGTGGGTGCTGCAATGGAAAATAACATTAAGGGGTTTTATAATAAACTGTCAAACCTGAAGAAAATATGTGTACCTTTCGCTCAAATTGTTCCCTTTTTGGGCAAAAATAGATGGAAGTTTTTTGATCGAATCAAAGCCAATTTCATATAAATCTCGTAAGCCTTATTCATTTGTAGATCTAATTTCAACAACAACTAGATCTAGCGACCATTACATTTATGCATTACTTCGGTATCAAGGTAATAATTACCCTAAAACAACTTGCAACAAATGTTACGATCAATTTGGTAAGGGGCTGTTTGGTTCGCTATTATAAGGGGTGGAAAACTCAGAAAACCTCTCCACGTCAGATTTTTAGCTCTCCACGTCAGTTTTTTTGTTTCCGTCCATTTCTTTGTGCCGCTTTGGTTCGCTCGGATGGAAGAGGGAAAACTCTGCTGAAATCGCCGCCAACTCAGATTTTTTTCCCTCTCCGATTTCCTTCCTCAACCGAGTGAAATTGATGAAAACTTTGCCACATCTGATTTTTTTCCTTCTCTGCTTTATTTACAAAAGTTTTCCTTTTTTTTCTATGCGAACCAAACACAAGAAAAATAAATACATTGGTTTCCCACTATTTTTTATGTGCGAACCAAAGCAAAACAATCTATTTCTTGGAAAAGTTTGGAAAACTCAAAACTTACATTTCTTTACATGGAATTGCATTTCCCTATATCAAGGTAACGAACCAAACAGCCCCTAAGAGTAAATGCTGGAAGCTTCAAAAGAAGAAAACAAAATTCCATCTCATCGGGAAATTTATCTTTTTAATCTAAGTATGAAAATCATAATTTCCTTATATGACATAATTATGTAGCTTTAGTCCTAATTGTTTATCAACCAAACACTAATAACAAAAATGTTGTGACATTTGCTATAACTTTTTTTTTTGAAGCAAACCAAATGTCCTTTAGTCTTTCGACTAGTACTCCTATTGTAGTAAATAAAATAATATTTGGATACAACCACTGCTTATAAGATTTTGATTAGAAACATAAACCCTTTAAGCTAATTTGTTCTGAAAAAATATATGCAACAGGGATAACCTAAACCAGTTATACATATTCAAACGCGTGTTTAATTTCTATTGAACGGTCTAGATTCAATCATCTGCAAGTGAAAGGTTCAGAACGTTCCTCTTGTGTTAAAAAAGAAAAGGCAAAAAAGGAAAAAAAGTAATCAAAAACAGCCCAACGAAAGTAAGGGAAAGACCACACGAGTGAGATCCGTGCCAACTAGAGGTCTTGTAACCGACAGGTGGCAATACAGGGAAGTGCACAAACACAAAAAACAAGGACGCGTGCTAGAAGTGTCTAACCTTCACAGTTAAGTTGTTGAATCCTTTATTGTGTTTTGTTTTGCAAACTTGCTAGGATTATATTGGTTTTTAAGCAGCCTATAAGTAGCATTCTATGATTTCAAGTTTTACTCTTCTGAAAGCAGAGTATATGAATTTAATTTTCTAAAATACCCGAGGCTGCGTGTTGCGTGGTGCCTCTTAGCTATGCTTAAGGGTTTAATACTCATGGTCCAAAGGATAATGAGGAAGATCTCTCGTCAAATCAGAAAAAGTATTATATTGGTCTCTTAAGTTACAAATGATATCAAATTATGATGACTCTTATTAATTGTAACTAGTCAATTAATTGCTAACTTAATTTTTAATATTTAGTTTAGAAATCGAACTTAAGACCGTGAAAGTCATATTAGAACTTTCTAATTTTATTGATACACTGTAGCTTCATATTTCATTAAAAAAATAATAAAAAATTTAGAAACATGAAAACATTGAAGAAATACACATACCATTTCTCATAAATTTTCTCAAAATTAGTCTCTCAAAGGTCAAATTGTTTTTCGATGTTGACTTAGCTGACTAAGGCAGCTTTTTTCTCCATGCTTAGGAGGGACCTCATTTAAAAAAAAAAAAAAAATTCTCGTAAACTATTTCAAACTGGTCACTCCTATCAAGAGGACCCTATTACCAATTTCAATAATGTAAGGGACTCCTTCAGAATTTTAAAGACCGAAAGGGACTAATATAAAAGAAGAAACCCTAATTAAGGTACATCTGCATCGAATTAAAACATACGGAGACTGCAAGGGGTTATAATTGCCTTTTAGGGGACAAAAACAACTGCAATCTCTCTCTCCATCTCTCTCTCTCTCCCCCCCTTCTCAAAAATCAAGAACGATGACGGCTTCCTCCTCCGCGTCTTCAGAGTTCACCGCCGACGAACTCGAGGCGGCGCAGGCTCTGATTAAGCTAAAGACCACCGACCCAGATTCCACCCTCTCAGGTTTCTTCCCTCGCTGGCTCCAGAAGAAGAAGCGGCTGAAGAGCAGCGAGAGAGGGAAAAGGTTGAGCCCTGACACTCCTCTCGATGTGCCTCGTTCGCCGATAGCCGGCGACAAGAACCCATTTTCTCGCTCGCCTCCTCTGCTTTCGTGTTCGAAGATGGAGTCTTTGAAGAGGAACGGCGACGAGAAACAAGCGGAGGTAATTAATTCGTTAATTAAGGATCTCTCTCTCTCTCTTTAAAACCCTGGAATTTAGGTTAACCTATTTAAGATTATGGTGAATGATGCAGTTGGTGAATAAGAAGAAGGATCAGATGATGAATGCGGTGTCTGCTACTCAACGCAATTTTCAGGAGGTAATAATTTATCCCTTTTTGTTTGCTTTTAGGTTTTATTTTCCTTTTTAATTCATAAAAGGTTTTTTTTTTTTACATTTCTTTTCTTTTTTGGGGTCAGTGTGTGATGGAGGCGGCGAATCGGTACCCAATCTTGGAGGACGATAATTCTTCGTTGAGACGAATTCAATCATCTCAGGTGATTTTTCCTTGTTTTACCCCAGGACAAATTTTTCGGTTAATTAACGAGTAAATTTTACATAACCCTCCTAAAAATTGGCTAACCCTCACAAGTCCCCGCCATCATACTCCCCTAATGGCATAATGAGTTTTCTGAAACTTTATCAAAAGTTTGTTCACATTTTCTAAATTAATGTCGACAAGTTTGATGGTATTTCGAGAAGAACATCCAAAATTAGGACTCGTATATATTTTAAAAGAAATTGAAAATGTTTAGTGGGTGTTTGCGACAGGCCCCAAATTAAGATTAAAGGGTTTAAGTATCATATGTAAAGAGTTTGGTGGGGGTGGCTAAAAGTTTAGATTGGTTACATGGAAATACACCCTTGATTAGATAACAAGAAAGGTTTAAGGTTGTTAACCTAGGTCGTTTACGTTAATGTAGCAGTACAACCAAACACTGGCACAGCAACAGGAGCAACCGCAACCGCTGGAGCTTTTCTCGATGGGCCCCACACACCCGGTGGACCAGTTGCCTGATCTCAACCTGACACCCGCCGGCTGAGGCGGCGGCGATGACGATGGCACCAGCGACCGCGGCGCCGGAGGCGCCGTTGCCTGATCTTAACATGACGCCGCCGGCTGAGGAGTCGGCGACCAGGGCGGATGCGCAGTTGTTAGGCGAGGAGGAGGAGATTGGAGATGATGAGGAGCAAGTCTTGTCGTCTTAAACGTAAGATGAGAGGATACTAGTCCCTTTGCATGTTATAATTATGGCGGTCTTGTATGTTTAGTTTAACTTAATTAATTGTACAAAATTTTTTTGGGATGGGGATGGAGGCTGCTTCATTTATTTTGTATCTAGCTGGTATTAATTTGTGAGAATGGGTACCAAATTGATCATATTAAAGAGTTGGCTTATGTTTTAGATTGGAGTACTTGGGCTTTCATATAAAACTTTTTTTATCACTAAGAAATTAAATAATTTGGATATGTGTTCTGCTAATAATGGACTTAGTGAGCTGTTTATTAACTCATGCGTTGTCTAAAGTAGCATAACTTAATTCTGGTTAAAGTCCGGATTATGCATGCATGACGTGCATACCTGATATGTTTTTTTTAGTTTGTTACAAATTGATGCAGGAGATTAAGTAACGGACGATACAGAGATCAATTAACGAACGAGATCAGATCAGATCAAGTAATGGACGAGACGAAGGAACAGGCGGACGAGACGACGTCAGTGGACGAGACGACATCAGCGGGTGAGTCGAGTTCTCAACTCGACGCAAGCCCGATGAGACGAGTAGAAGATTCGAGGCGACAGGACGAGACGACATGTCCAGTCGACACGAAAGGCAGTACTAATCGACAAGCCTCATGTCGACTCAAATGAAATGAGACGACATATGCCCAGTACGTCGACACGAAAGGCGATACTAGTCGACTCGCCTCGTGTCAACTCGGACATCAGATTAGGAAAGAATTCGTTTTTGATTATTTCCTTTTAAAAATAGAGTTTCTTTTTTATTAGAGTTAGGATAGGTTTAGTTGGCTATATATAATAGTTCCTTTTGTAAATCAATTAGAGTTAGGATAGGTTTAGTTGGCTATATATAATAGTTCCTTTTGTAAATCAATAATTAACTTTTCAATTATTCAATCAAGAGAATTTTTTGGCTATATATAATAGTTCCTTTTGTAAATCAATAATTAACTTTTCAATTATTCAATCAAGAGAATTTTTTTCTCTATTGTTTTCTTTATCAAGTTTGAGAAACTTCTGGCTTGTGGATTCAAGCTCGTGAATTACCTATTATTGTTAGGGCTCGTCGGCATCGGAACAATATCCGATCGGTCTCCTCGTTTCTACGTCTGCGTCAAGTGGTATCAGAGCTTCGGCTTCAACATCCTCGACAATGGCAGGTGGCGGCGAGAAGGAACTTTCTCTACAAGATCTTTTCACGAGGATGGATTCTATGGATGAGAGATTTGGCACGTTGGAGGCGTCTCTTCAGAACTTTCTACAAGCCATTGAAGAACTTACCCTTCACCTCAATAATGAGAATAATTTCGCCAGCGGTCTTTACCTAAGCGTACTCGGAGTTAGGCAGCCACGACATCCACCCTCGTACAATCACCAACCCCCTCTAGTTCACCCCCTTCCATATCAACCACGTCCCAACCAACCCCCTCCATATCAACCCTCTTTGCATCAACCTCTTCAATATTAACCCCCTCCACTCCTTCGACGACTTCCCACTCAAACCCTTCCCCATGATGATTACAGTGACTACGAAGCGGACTATGGTCACCAATTTGAAGGGTCATGGTATGATAATATTTCGAATGAAGAGGAAGGAGATCAACCTTATGGTAGAGGTTGGGGTAGAGGCTACAACCCTCGTTACAACTACCACCGACAAAGACCGCTATTATCAGGGCCAAGACTATCGGATGAAGGTAGAGTTTTCTTCCTTCGGAGGAAATCTAGACATAGAGGCTTTCTTGGATTGGCTCTACGAAGTGGAGAAGTTCTTTTGAGATGGTTAATGTGCCCGAAGTAAACCAGGAAAAGTTTGTAGCATATCGTCTCAAAGGAGGAGCCACGACATAGTTAGATCAATCTCAAAACACTAGGAGACGATAAGGCAAGCAACCGGTGCGGGTTTGGCGTCGCATGAAGAAACTACTACGGGCAAGATTTCTACCACCCGACTATCAACAAATCCTATACAACCAGTTCAAGTAATACCGTCAAGGAGTCAGATCAGTAAGTGCTATAGCAAAGAGTTCTTCCATCTTACTTCTCGTTGTGATTTGTCTATGAGCGAGCGAGGAATAACTCGCAGCCAAATTTATTGGTGGTTTGAAGTATTCGATTCAAGAGAAGGTGGTCATCCACAATGTGTACTCTGTGGACGAAGCCCACAATTTAGCTCTAAAGGCGAAAATATTAGCCTCAAAGACACCACTTTTAAGGCCAACCGATCAGGGAAGTTTGGTCGAGAAGGCGAGAGGTGAGTCGGCAGGGCCAAGGACGACTGATCGGTCTAATCCTCCATAATCAGCCGAGCGGTCGACAAATCAACCACCGCCCTAGACGATTCAATCAAATCAGTATGCCAAGTCGACCATAGGGAAGTGTTTCTGATGTCTCCAACCAGAGCATAAGTCCAACGAGTGCCTGAAATGGCGGAAAGTCAATCTTGCGAATTATGAGGAAGCTGAGGATGGGCAATAAGAAGATCATCCTACCACCTATTCTACCCTCTCCAAAGAACTCTGATGATCAAAAGTCCAAACTATCTCTGTGCAACAAGGGTGAGTTTCTGGCCGAGTCAAAGGAGTTAAAGCAAAGGCTTTCGTTAGTTGTGAAGGAGGAAGTAAAGACAACCATTGAGGTCCCATGGAAGATGAAGTCGCTGCTTAAGTAGTTCGAAGTGTTGATTCCTGAAGAGCTGCCAGAGGGACTCCCTCCCATGAGGGATATATAGCATCACATTGATTTTATTCTGGGTTCGGTACTTCTTAATCTCCCTCACTATCGCATGAACCCACAGGAAAAAGAGATCCTACATGTTACCATTGAGGACCTCATTGAGAAGGGCCATGTTTGAGAGAGTATGAGTCGGTAGGCACAAAAAATGTCAAGAAATAAAGCAATGTTGAACCTCGCTACAAGCACGACGATGCTCATCATGATGATGAACCTCATCTCAGCCAACGAAGCCCATCATGATGATGGATATCATTGAAGACGAAGTTCGCCTAGAGACAAAAATCCTCTAGAAGATGAAGCTCATCCAAGAGACAATGTCCATTTGCAGACGAACCTCGTCAAACATCATCTCACTCCTCAAAAAGATGAACTTCGTCATTGAAGACGAAGTTCGCCTAGAAACAAAGTTCATCATTGAAGATGAAGTAGTTCACCCTCCTAAAATTTGGCTCAACCCCCACCCCCAACAACGTAGGGAAAAAAATTTCGGAGCTTGTCTCACAAGTCCCTGACATCATACTCCCCTAATGGCATAATGAGTTTTTTGAAACTTTATCAAAAGTTTGTTCACATTTTCTAAATTAATGTTGACCAGTTTGATGGTTTTTCGAGAAGAACGTGGAAATTTATTCCCATTTTTTTTTCTAAGTCAGCTAGAGAGATAAATACAAATTTTATTCTCATTTTTTCTTCAATTTTCCCAAAAACATGCAGGAGTACTTGTGCTTTCATATAAAGCTTTTTTTTATCACTAATAAATTAAATAATTTGGATATGTGTTCCGCTAATAATGGACTTATTGAGCAGTTTATTAACTCATGCGTTGTCTAAAGTAGAATATCTTAATTCTGGTTAAAGTCCGGATTATTCATGCATGACGTGCATACCTGATATGTTTTTTTGTTTGTTACAAATTAAATTTAGTTCGTCAATCTCACGAACTCGACACCTGGAGTATCATCTAGCAGAATATCAAGCTCCAATCATAGAATCTCCCTCTACTAAGTGACGGAGCCTTGGTAATTAGGGGTGTAAAAAATAATTAAACAGTATAACATATAGAAGTTTTTCATGGAATTGATTAGCATATAAAAAGTATTATGTAACAAAACTTTGAAATCACATTTCTAATAAGGTATAATATCATTCTTATAGTCTTCATTTCTTGAAACTGTTCAATCGCATCTTTTTCACATCAATCAATGTTATAGAATATATAGTGTAGACGCTTGAACTCTGCGCTTTGATCTACCGACCACAAAATTAACTTCCACGTTCAAGATTGCTATCTCATATAAATTAACGCCTCGTTTGGTACGCGGGAATGAGGAGGAATGGAATGCAATTCCCACTTCCCATTCCCTCATACCAAACACACCTATATTTTAGATGTTGGAATGACCATTCCCTAGGAATGATCATTCCCACTATTTGTGGGAATGAGCATTCCAAGTGAGAAGATAAGGAATGGTCATTCCCATTCAAGTGAGAATCAAAAACTAGTTAGGTATTTTTTAATTATATCCATATTAATAATAAAGAATGTTTGGGTGAGGCGCTATGCAAGTGGGCAATTTTAGATTGACAATTTAGGCTAGTATATCATTTTGCTATTTCGAAACTTATTATTTTAGTTGGTATTGTTTTATGGATTTTTGCTATTATGAATTGAGTGATTTTGATACTTTATCAAATAAGTTAATTTATATATCTAGAACTGTGGATTGTGGATATCATTCTTTTTTTTTTTTGGACCTATGAAAGATACGATAATCTTTTTTTTTTATTTTTCTTTAATTTTTAAGACTAAGAAATATCGAGTATTGTTTGAAAAATATAAACGAAACATACACCTGATGGATAATACGAGCATTAGTATAACACATACCTAGATTAATATAACATATGCGTATATAAAATTATTTAGTTATTATCATTAATGTTTATTTTTTATCTTATTAAAAATCTATGTTGTTGTAAGGGCATTATTAGAAAATGAGATTTCATTCTCACTTGTGTACTAGTGATACCAAACATGGGAATGGGAATGAGATTTCCATTCTAGCTTCATTCTACGAACGCACCCAAACAAGAGAATGAGAATGACCATTCCATTCCCACATGCAATCCATTCCATTCCTTCTTCCATTCCATTCCCAAGTCTGTCCATTCCCAC